GCTGCCGAGATGGCCCATAGTCGATGAAAGTCGAGAAGGTGTTACGATATCTCTATTAGCACATCGAGATTTAAGTTGCTCGGTGCAATAAAGTCTTAAATCTATTGTACAAGAAATATCTGTTTCCGTGTTGCCCGAGTCTCATTTCTAACTTTGATCGTGCTTACTGTACGCTGCTTCCAATATAAAAATTATTAATTAATTAAACGCATTAAAAATAACGCACTAACATACGTATACAGAAATAATATTTTTAGTAATTTTTCTAATATATAATTTTAAATATAATTAATAAAAGATAATTTTTAAAAATATCATTAATAATATAATTTTTTACATACTTTATACTCAATCCTTGTGCACTGCAATCACATCTCGTCGTTCGCTTTATAATAAAGATGTTTAGATAGAGAGATAAAGATGTTTAGATTAATAAAGAAGTTTAGAGATGGAATATTTTTTCGACGTTACAATAACATTCTCAGGTTGACGACGCTGAATCGAAGCGATCCCCGCCCGGTGGATCGCCCGGACGATCCTCGGCTAATCTCCGAGAGAGGAGCGTTTAGGATGATTAACTTTCACCGCGGCGCGGCGGTGAGCGAGGCTTCCGGTGCGCGCACGCCATTGTCAACGACGACGTTCTTACTAGGGCGACGCTATTCCGCGTGCGCGTCTGTCGCGGCCTTTGTCGCGACACATGCACGACACCATCAGCGACATCGTGTCGCGCTGTCCTCGCCTTCGATATTCGTTCGCGTAGGCGTTTAATGATGGGTTCCGCGGCGGGCGTCGCGTGTGCGTGCCCGCGCGCGCATGTAACGCCGTCAACCCCCCGCGCGTGCATGGCGAAGAGGTGCCGTCGTATGAGAATAGAATGCTTACAACGACGAGGAAGGAGGAGGGGGAAGAATCCGTCGCGACGCGGTCGCGAATTCCGACCCGCCTCCATAAAGCCTCAAATATCACGATCGACGACCCTGAAGTGACACCAACACGGTGAACCTCCGTCGTTCATCCGGTTCTCTCGGAGGCCTCGTTGAGCAACGATCCGGGCGCGCGCACGAAACGTCGCGAATAAATTTCGAACGCAGAAAATCGATACAATGCGCGCGACGTAACAAAGGATTCTGATAAATGGTTAAATCGGTTGTTTCTTTTTTCCTTTTTATAAGAATGCGCGACGGAGGTGTATACGCGGTTAACATTGTGCGCGCGAGTCTCTGTGTGACAGTGCAGAAATTCGCAAGAAGATCCATTGTCGGTGCAATTCGTTGTAAACGACGGTCATTCGGAGCGTCATCGGGCATTGTAACGTCACACGAGCGGGGCCGGCTTTCAACGTCATCGGCGACGTAACGGCGCGGCGCGGGCGACCGCGTGCCGAGTTGCAAGGCCAAAATTTGTGCAAGTTGCAACACCCCAAGCCGCGTTCGAGAGAATCGTCGAACGAAACGGACGAAACGGCACGACATTTAGCGGAGAAAAGCGGCGAGGGATCAGAGAGCGTCTTTTTGTCCAGGGCAACAAGAGGTCGCAAAAAAAAAGTCATCAAACCGTGAAACCGGGGATAAGGCTCTTCGAGAGTGGCTCACGTTTCTCCGCTTCTTCTTCTTCTTTTTTCTTCTCTTTGCCTTTTTTTTAAATCCCGTCGTAACGCCCTGACCAGGTAACTGTGTCAGGACCGTTGTGCCCGAGATCACCGACGGTTGCGCAACAAGGCGGAGCGTGGAGATCCACGGAGGATCCGATGATCTAAGGTCTCGGGGCGTATACACCGGCCCCCTCGATTTACTCGCCGCGCTTAGTCTCTCGGGCAACCTAAAGCTAAGGAGCTAACTAGAGATTGACCCAGAAAGCCGCGACTTGGATAAAGTTTCCGCCAAATACGCCGTAGCGATGATGCAGATATAATCGGAATGAGTGGATGCAGAAGCATAAAAAATTCTTGATTCTGACGCGATTCTGATTAAACAAAAATTATACATTAAAAGATATCGAGAAAATATAAAAATATTGTTCTCTAAATTTTTTATGTATATTTCATTTTTCTGTATTTTCTGTTTTTTTTTTTTTCTAAAAAATATCGTGTTGCCCAAATCAAACAATTCACAAAAAATCGCGATAATTGACAATATCGATTTTGCAAATTAATAACAAGAAATCAATCTCGTAAAGTTAAAATCTAAAAATGAAATATAACATTAAAATTGTTAAAGTTTTATATCTCTAAATTGTTTTACGTAATAGAAAAGAACTTACTTTTCGTAAGAAAAAGTTCCACTCTCTATTTAAAATGGAAAAATCTTTATATGAGAAGTTTCATGACGAATCTAAATAGTATAAAAAATGTGATATAAAAAGTTTTTCCCCGAAGTGTATGACGGAACGGAGATGAATAACTTACCGCGATTAATCAGATAATTAATATTTCATCCGCATAAAATCTATATTTATTGCGCTCTCAAGCAACTGCATGATTTAACGATTATAAAAAAAAATCTCGAAAAATCTCAGGATGATACATCTATTACATTCGACAAGCAGATAAAACCGTCAACAAATATCGATCTTACAAATTATAATTATTTATTATATTACTGTATAACTTTAGTCGGGCTGCAAAGCTGGCAATTTTTCATTACACGTATTATATGAATTTTTAAATATTGTTACTATTAATGCAAAATCAATCTTAATTATAGCATTAGTTTGAAGTAATCACAATTAATTTTTATCGATCTCTATTTTACCAAAGACTTTCAGAGTTACGACACCGATCAAAGAGATCGAGAAGAGAGAGAGAGAGAGAGAGAGAGAGAGAGAGAGAGAGAGAGTCGAAGGCATTTAAGCCAAGCAAAGTACGATAACAACGAGCTGATCCGGTCCTAGGACAACCGGATCGTCATCGTGAAGCCGGGGAGTAGCGGCGCATAGTATCGTGTGGTGGGATCACTACACAGTTCCAGAGGTGAATTAGCGTTGTCAGGAGGTGAGGAACGAGACGAGAATACTGCAAGAAACAGTTTCAATCTTTGACGGTGAGCTCACACGGGAAATGGAAACACCGGCACGCTCTCGATACAATGGCGAGAATACCGAAATCGAAATGACAGCAGATTGAGCAGGAAGTCAATGGATATTAGCGTGACGACGGAATGACTAACAATAAGTAAGACGCGTGTCCAAACCGAAGGCATATACATAACTTGGAAACTAGCGATACAATGCAGAGAGGATCTCAGGCCAATTCTGTGAGTCAGTCCTCCTTTCAGCCACAGACAGTACAATAAATTCGAAACCGATTCTATTTTAACAATATTTTACTAATGTATCATTATTCGTTAGTTGCAATATTATCTTGTGAATTAAAATCTAAATGCGATCTTTTCATATTAATCAAGTAAGTTTTGAATAAAATTAATTGATAAAAAGAATAATCAAAGCATATCAACAAAAATTGTTGATGGCAATCCATTTTTTTTTATACAATTTATAAAAAGACTCTTACTAAAGACTTAATACTAAACAAAGAAAATGTTAATTTTGGGTCTAATAAAACAGTTGCTAAAAAGGGCTAAAAATTGGCTGGAAAAATTTTTAAACATTTGTATGTATGTCTTTATATGTGTGTATTTTTTTTCTCTTATAAATCGCTCGAGTTTTGTCGAGACGAATACGCTATAAGCACGGACGGAGAAGAAAAAGAAGAGGAGGAAAGAATCAAGGAAGGAATATACTCGCAAGCGATAGAGCGGTAGGGTGTCGATACAGTTGCAAAGGTGAATTAGTTGCCTGGGAGGTTGCACCGCGAGTAACGATAGAGAAGAGATAGTGACTGTGTTCGATACTCCTCATCCCATCCCTCCCTCTCTCTCTCTCTCGTTCTCTCTCTCTTTCTCTGTCCCTCTCACTCTTTCCCACCCGTTCTCTCCCTCTCGCTTCCGCGAGAGCACGTCGGCTAGCTGGGAGGATTCCGGTGTGTCGGTGACCATCGTCGGGTGGGAGTGGTGCACCAACACCATCCACCTCCTCTCTTCGGGGTCCAGATCGGGCCGCGGATCGGGGAGTGGGAAGAACAGTCAGAAGAGTGCCGGAGGAACCGTAGCTAGGAGGAAACGTTGGCTAGAGGGAGAGACGTCCTTCGTCGAGCGAAGTAGGAAAAGGAACACGACGAGAGCCGCGATGAGGAGGAGGGAGGACGGGAGAGAAGGGAGGCAGTAGAAGGGGGGGAGGGCAGGTCGCGTGCCGGCGTGGTGCTACTCCGGAGCTGAAAGAGAGGAGAGCACTTACCTTACCGACGTCTCTCACGGTTAACACGCAGGGGAGCTCCTTCGCGTATATTCCTCCGCGTGCGTTCTCACACACACACACACACACACACATACACGGGGGGAACGGGCGCTCTAACGTGGATACACGAATACGTGTGTGTGCTCCGCACGCAAACGGCGCGATTTCTTCCCCCTCCTCCCGTCTGCGGACATCTCCTCGGTGTGTTCTCCAATCTCCCGGTGTGTGGCTCACCTACCTACCTACCTACCTACCTACCTACTTACTAACCTACCCGCAGCCTACGGATTCAGTCTCCCCGCCCAACTCGACGGTACCCACGACGGTACGTATACCTGCGTGTTTGTGTACGTCGCGCGTTGCACGTGTGCCAGTGTGCACGACGTTCGTACGCGGCATCGCCCGCTTCACACATCGGCACACGGCTTACTCACCACCGCGCCGCACCGTACGGACCACTCCGCTCTCGTCGCGTCTCACGAATCTCCTCCGAGAGCGCTCCGGCTGATATTCCGCCTCGTCCGCGGCACGAAGGAAAGAAAGAGCGAGAGAGGAAGAGGGAGAGATGGGAAGGGGGAGGGGAGGGAGATATCACACGCCTCGAGAGAGGACCTGGACAACGGAGCACGGGCACCAAACGATCGCCGGACGGTGGTGAGCAACGTGGTTGGCTCCTTCCGTCGCTCCTCCCGCGAGAGAAACCAACAGTCAGGACTCGACTGTTGTCCTGTCGACACGACACACGTGCGAACACTCACGATACACACATCCGGGCGTCGCGCCGAGATCGGCAGTGTCATCCCACGGAAATCGGTCATCCGGATCGCGGACAATCGCCCACGAGGGAACCATTTAATTAAAATACGGTCGACTGTGTCGGCTCCTTGGCATCCGATCCGGAGCACGAGGAACAGAACGAGCTCTAGTCAGGAGGAATAAGAAGGGAGACAGAGCTGTCTCTTCGAGAAAACGTCGGGAGGCTGTCTGGTGTGCGGTGTGTGATATACTCAAAAAAAAAGGGACACGCGTATCGTGGTATCGCCGGAGCGGGAACGATCGAAACCGTTATCCGAGCACGTGGTCGCGGTACCACGAGGTGCAAGAAACGAGGGGCTCCCGGTGGAATCTGGATGTACTATCGTTGAGAAACGTGTCAACGGAATGTTCGTGCGGACGTTCCGGTATCCCGTATCTTCGTAAAGGCCGCGACGTACTCGCGCACGTGGAAGGGTCCGGGAAAAGAGGGAGAGTGAATTCACGAGTGTGAGGATAGTGTGTTGTTGTAAAACAAGTGCTCCCTCTCTGCATCCATCACCCTTTCTTCCGCTATTTCTTCTCTCACGGTGTCATCTGACTCTTTCTTCCTTTTTCTTCTCCATTTCTTTCCTCTCCCTTTTGTTTCTTCATCTCGCTTGGATTGCCTTATGAGCAGAGCAAAGGTGGAAAAGTGTCGCGAAGTCAACGGAAGTGCAGGAACTGCTGTCACCCTCGGCTTCAAGGTCGTGGCATGACGTATAAGGTAACACGATTTATGATTCTATCTCTTCCCGCCGGGACATCGTGTATTATTACATCGTGGTATTTCCGAGCAGCGATTCCTGAATATTTATGAGAGTCGCGCGATCGGTATTTTCCAGAGAAGAACGAGAGCATTTGAATTTACGAATCATTTTTATTAGTATTCTAAATATGCTAATCTAATCGTATGCCAATCGCAACGGTAATTTTGATAAAAACAATTCAACATAAAATAAGATAGAAATGTTGGAGAAGCAGAAATTTTATGAAAAAATATAAGAATTGTCAAGCGTGATGATTTATGTAGTACGCAAAATCCAAAGCATTCGATCAATTTATCAAATTAATTTGATATTTATTTATTTTTTATAATTTAATATGGATTTGATTTTACAAATTGAAAACACAATCTCGTCTTTCTGCCTTCTTCTCCAGATAAATAAAATTGTAAAATAAAAGTTGTCATGGTAATTTGTAATTATTTTTAAAAGTTTTTAAGTGGAATTTTTAACGTTTATAGATTAGTAAAATTGTAAAATGAAAGTTGTCATGGTAATTTGTAATTGTTTTTAAAAGTTTATAAACGGGATTTTTAACGTTTATAGTACTTGAATACTATTATTGGAAAAAAAGCTCTTTATCGGACTGGAGACATTAACGCTATCGATCGTTTTCTCGTTGGCGCGGCGCGCCAAACGTGCGTTGAACGTCGTCGACGAAATCTCGACTCGTACTCCTGACGCCGGCGTCCCGCGCTCCCGATAATTACAGAGTTCTTGTGAAATGCAGACACGGTGTCGCGTGCGCAGCAATCTGCGAACAGGAACATTGAATAGCAATAGGCGGAGACAGAGGGGTTTTCATTTGAATGAAAACAATTGAACTCCGCGCGCGAGTGCGATCGCGGAAGAGTCGTCCGTATGTAATTCGTCGACGTATCATCCGACAAGTGTGCACACTTTGCGAAAACAAAATATGATAACGCTTAAAATTAACTAATAGACCACATGATACACAGTTTATGTATTACGTGATTTATAAATTGGACATCATATATTTTCAAATGCCTCGATATTTTTACAAAAAGTCATTAATGAATTCAATTAATGTCGCCGATGTTATACTTAAAATTTTATTTAGATACATAATTTTTTCGGACACTATCCAATATATTCTTTCGAGATTGTTTTGCCATTACCCGCAATTTCAATACATAATTAATAATCGTGAATTCGAATAATAATTGACAGAGTATTAAAATTTTTATAAAAATGTGAGTATAAGTCGCACGCGCGTATTTTCTCACACACGCGAAGCCACTGCGGATTGACACCGGGAAGATCTTACGTAACGCAATTAAAAGGGACGCGAAGTCACGCCCATAAATTCGCGCGCTCTCGTGGGTTCCGCGCGCGAAAATGCGTTGGACGTCTAATTCGTTCGAGACCAGTTCCGAAGCTTGCGCGTGCGATCTCGCGCAAGAGCGAATCGCCCACGCTCGTCCTTATATCACCGAACGGTTCGTTTTGCCGCCCAGGAAAGCAGACGTTTGCAAAAGCTATGTTCCTGCGTCATCCCTGCCGTTTCCTCGTTCATAAATTTACGTGCCTCCAGGCGGGCGCGCGCGCGCGACTGCGCCCATGCGAGGGATAGAGAACACGTGAGATTATCCGATACGCAAGGCACGAGAGATCCCGATAAATATGTTTACCGAGTATTCAAAATAACGCAAGCTATGCGTTTACATAATGTAAGTGCAAAAATGACGGACGTCGAATCACGCGACATTCGCATTAGTCAAGAAATCTCGTTTTGTTCACAAACATGTGACTGAGGTATTTAATTATTAAGTGAAAATTTGCAGTCATATTATATATATATTATTACAAATTATATTTGCTGCAAATAGGAAAAAATATATATATCACTTCTTGGTGAAAACTAAAGTCAGATTTCGCAGAGTTCGTTTAATTTGATTTCTCTCGTCAGATTATGCTCGGAGAATAAAGACGGCGCGGGTCAGAATATTCGATTAAAGTGACACGAGAGATACACCAACGATGCATTATTCATAGAGCACGGCCCGAGTACGATATAGGTATACGATAGCACACGCAATAGACGCGCTACCGAGCGTACCGGCGACGCTAACAGTTAATTGATAACAGGTAAGTCGAGTGCGGGACGCCGGGTGATTTTTGTTGCACCGCCGAGCGATGCCGATCTCGATATAGACCGACCGACGACGCCGTTAACAGTTATGTGAAACCAATGCGCGGCCCGCGAGAGCCGGCAGGCCCCGCGCTCTTGTCCCGTGGCCCATTATTTTCTTCCTCCTTATACTCTGTTGCCTCGCGCGGCTGTTCCCCGATCCATCTCTGCCTCGCTATCGGCAATTTGTTAGAATCGGCTTCGTACGTGCGCCGACGCGCCCATGACTATCCGTATGCGATAAATCGCAAATTACGACGGGCGCGAACATCGCGCATCGCACGAAAGTAATTGTAAATAATACGCGATGCGGATCTCCTCCTTTCGCCTTGGGAATAACGATAATTTGTACGACTGCGCGGGCAGCCGGAAAATTTCAAGAGGTAAATCTTACGCGAGAAACGAGTTAGATCTGCCGCGGACGTAGACCTTCCCTATCGCTGTGAAATTGATTGACGGCTACTTATATGAGATCGAATTCAGATCTACAGTTAAAAAGATCGTAACAGATTCGTATTCACAGCGTCAGCGCGTTGTACTTAAAATCGATCCTACACAACCACCGTTAAATCTCGTTCGGGTTCACTAATTTTACACAATTGTTATACGTATTATTTTACTTTGTAAAAAAGCGGGTCCAAAGATGTGATTAGACGTCGAACAGAGCCAGATATCGGGCTCAGATACGGAGTTTCGGTTTAGTACGGAGCCATACGACTCCGCCTACTCTCGTTTTTCTTGTCAATCCCATCCTTGCAAAACCGAACGGAACTTGGCAGTGTCAAGCGATATTACGCGAACGGTATCGGGATCCTACCTCTTTTTTTCCCCTGCTTTTCGTTGCTCAACAATCCGGGCAAACGTATACAAGCGGTAGGCCGGTTATTTGAATACGCCGGCTATTACGAGAATGGAGAGCACGACAATCATGAGAGACTCCCAGACGTTCGAACAATGTCCTCACCTCGATCCTGGACTGGCGCAAACGGCAATAAAACGGGTCCCGAACGACATTACCGTCACCGAGTACCGGCTATTAAATGCTTCCACCGCAGTGATCCTACCGGTGTCTTCCATAATCTGTAGTGTTATCTTTATATTAAATAGTTTTCAAACATGCATCACAAAATAATATTTAATGTGTATTTTATTTAATTGTTTTTTTAATATCTATATTGCCTCAACTTATAACATTTATATAAAATAGTATATAATATTTTATTTTTATACATTGGTTTATCCTTTCCCGAATTTCGGAAAAAAAACTCAACGAAAAGTAGTATTAATAATGTTAAATGATTTTATTTTCTTTTTTATCTTTTCTTTATCTTTCAATTTTGTTCTTGAAAATACCTCTTTTTTTATTGTGCTTCAATATATATTCTATAAAGATCTCTTTCGAGGTAAGACTCTTTGAAATCCCTCCATTGTTTATAGTTCTTTACTATGAACAATTCTTCAATTTTATAAAATTATATACAAAATATTTTGTGTCTGAAAAGATTATGATATTCGATTTAATGTTTTCATTAATTTCAATCGCACGTCGCGTCGGTGAAAAAATTACGAGAGTGAGCGTAATTTTTTTTTTTTTTACGACGGATTCACTCGGTGACGCAAATGGTCTCCATCGAAGAACGAGCTTACATAAGAAGCCGTTTAAGAGGGGAAAATTGAAATAATTTCAATCGTCTTTTTGCCTGTGGCCGTAAATGTAAATTCGTGTCACGACGGGGACGGGATCTCTTCGGTAGCATAAAGCTTGATGCGTGGGCTCGCGATGCCGGAGTCTATTTATACATTCTCGCGCGCGTACAATGGACTTGCTGCCTTTAAATTAAATTCGAGCAGTACCGCAATGCCATTGTTAAATTTCATTGCCGTTTAGAAAGTTTATCTCGAGTACTACAGACAATCCACGTGGACCGAGAGGCTTCCGATTAAACGAAATTTACGATTCGCATTCGAGTGACAGCGCGACTCCGCAACGAGCAATCCGCGATAAGCTGCCTTTATACATGCCACACAGTATCTGTATTTCATTAATAACAGTTATCGCGTGTATTGACAAGTTTTAAAAATTCAACGTTATTTCACGATATGCGGCCTGCTCGCGGGAAAATACGACGAACCGGTTTATCAAGAAAATTATGTGCGCGTAATCCATTAAAAGAATATCACATTACGCCGAAATCCCCATGAGAGATTTAGTACGACTGCGTAACGGTTCTTAAAACGCTCTTGAAGATACTCAGAATAGATCTCCTCTGAGAGTCCTTCGTCTTTATCAACGTGGATTCCGCGAATTACGAATTATCGCTCGCGACAGAAATGAAAATTTACAAACTGTTTCGGCGTGCGAAGATACGCAAAAACACTCGGGGAATCCCGTGTTGCGGGCGCGCGCGTTGCATCTCGCCGAAAGATCGTTCGGTGGCGGACGAACACACGAAGCTGACGCTTTTACGACCGGGCTGCAATCACTGAACATTACTGCGAACGTGTGATTTTTTTTTACTGCGGCCTTGATTTATGTCTCGCGTCGAAAGGGCGAGGTGCAGGAGTTTAAGCAAACTGCATATTAATTAGCCATTCTCGCCGGAAAAAAAACACGAAAATTATAGACCGCGCGGAATCGTGTCGGCGAGTCTTCTTAACTCAGAAAAGCGCAAACGAAACGCCCGTCTTTATTATGCATTCCTGAACTCCTCGTCGAATTTTACGCGAGGTGTGTACATTGTAACAGTACCCACAAAAAGCGCATTGTCCGTCATTTAATTGTAGTGAACG